TTGGCCAGCGGGAGAGTTGTGAGGTTCGAACTCCAGCAACCTGAGGCTGACAGCTTTGTGGAAGCAGCCACTTAAAGGCCTGAGCTAGGGCCAGGCCCCTGTCGTACCATTCTTGCAGTGGGCACTTACTGGGCATCTGCTGTGAGGGAAGATCTCTTCAAAGCTGGGAATAGGACCCCAGCATGGTGCTGTTAGCCCAGCACTCAGGAAGCTGAGGCTAGAGGATCATTGTGAGTTCAAGGCCAGCCTGGGCCACCTAGCAAGACCTTATATGAAAAACTAAGTGAAAACAAAAAAAGGATGCGGATTTGGGGGAAAGCCAAACATCGAGTCCACAGCTATCATCACTTCAGCCCAATCAGTAGATTGCACATACTTTTTTTGATCTTTTTGAGACAGAGTCAGACTGCCTTGACCTCACTTTATAGCCTAGGCTGGCCTGGACCTTGCAGCAGTCCTTCTGCCTCAGCCTCCCCAAATCAGGGATTACAGGCGTGCACCACCACACCCAGCAATGACATGCTGTTTACCAAGACTGTCTCTTTAACTCTCGTGGTCCAGTCATGTAGGTATCAGCATCTAGATGAGGCAGTGCACCTGAAGGGTGGATAAAAACCCTGCCCGTGTATGTGAGTTAGTGCTCTCTGGGCTCCGGTCCTCACCTCTTCCCTCCCAAAGGAGTGAGCTGAGCCTCATGGAGGAGCTGCCTGTCCGAGACTGTGGACACTGTCTGCTGGCTGTGTTGTCCCTGCTGTTCCCCACCTGCTAGCCCTAGGGCTGTACCCTAATGTCCCAGCCCCTGTCCTACTGTGCCAGTCTTTGGCCCAAAGGGTCCCGGAAGGGGCCTCCCAGTGCCCGCATCAGTCAGGGTTTCCTGGTGGGAGTTTTGATTACAAACTTTTGCTAGTTGCTGTTTTTTCTCATCTTGTGAGCAGGATCCAGAGAGACGAGCCAATGGGGGACCAACTGCCTTCCACACCCTGTCTGTCCCCACCACCGTTGGCTGCCAAGAAAAGCTCATACCTTTACTCCACGGAGATCACACTGTGGACCGTGGTGGCCGCCACACAGGCTATTGAGCAGAAGGTAGATGCCTGCCTGGCCCGACTCCTGGCTCTGGAGGGCCGCACGGGGACGGCTGAGAAGAAGCTGGCTGACTGCGAGAAGACGGCCGTGGAGCTCGGCAACCAGCTGGAGGGCAAGTGGGCCGTGCTGGGCACGCTGCTTCAGGAGTACGGGCTGCTGCAGCGGCGGCTGGAGAACGTGGAGAACCTGCTGCGCAACCGCAACTTCTGGATCCTGCGGCTGCCCCCAGGCAGCAAGGGCGAGGCCCCTAAGGTAGCCTTTGGGTGCCCTGGGTTGGAGAGCCCAAGGGCCCTGTGGCCAGCATACGGGTGAGCGAGTGTGACCCTTGTGGTTCCAGGTGCCCGTGACCTTTGATGATGTGGCCGTGTATTTTTCCGAGCAGGAGTGGGGCAAGCTGGAGGACTGGCAGAAGGAGCTGTACAAGCACGTGATGCGGGGCAACTACGAGACGCTGGTCTCCCTGGGTGAGGGTGTGGCGGCTGCTGGCCTCCGTCGCAGTGGTCTCTGTGCTGGGTGTTTGTTTTGTGCCTCTTTCTGTTGGCCTCTCCATGGGCAGCTAGGACCACACCTTTCTCCGTCCCTTCCCTGTTCACAGATTATGCCATCTCCAAACCAGACATCCTCACCCGGCTGGAGAAGGAAGAGGACCCCTGGCTCAAAGCTGTGTGGGGCCAGGAGGGGAGCAGGGAGCCAGCTGTGCACCCAGGGGTGCCAGGTGAGTGGGGGTGTTCAGGGCAGCCGTGCAGAGACCCCTGGCCCCAGCCAGGAGGGCATTGCAGATGATCTTGGAGCTGGAAGACAGCACCAGCTTTAGAGCAGGGAGGCTGCGCTCCATCCAGGGCCGCCTCCAGCAGTGGTGGTGGGGCTCTTCCTTAGGGTCACCGGTGTCTGCATGCCGACAGCGGGCACAGTCATAACGGGGCTGTCGTGAGGCTGGTGGTGCCACTGCTGCACGGGAGGTGAGAGAGTCTTATAATGAGTGAGCGGATCACTGTAAATAGTTATAGTGCAGCTGCTGATGCCTTCGTTTCAGGGCCGTCTGTCCCACAGTCCCCAGCTTGGCCTCCCACCACTGCCCCTGTGTCTCTGGTGGGGTCTAGGGCCCAGCTGGGCATTGTACCTTATATAGCTAGTGTGGGGACAGGGCCTCCAGAGGGGGTACGTGTCAGAGTCCTGGGGAGCTTTCTGGGGTGAGTGGTGTGGATGGAGAGATTTCTTCAGTGACCTGGGGGTCCTGTCCCCAACTCGGGCTGGGTGTCCTGTTGCAGACTGTTCTCGGCGCACCTGGGGCTGTGACACAGCTGATCTGCCGGGACAGAATCCACACCCGACTCTTTCACTGCTGACCTTTTTTGCTCATAGTATGAATCGCAGTGTGATTTCTCTCAGGTTTATTCCCTTAAGACAGTGAAGCAGCTTTGTTCCTTGTGGGAGGGTGCCAATGTGTGTGTTTTGGAGCATCTCTGTACACTCAGTGACAACAGGATTTAGGGTCCCCATGGATTCGGGCCCTGAGCACGTTTGTGTGAACTCAGGTGTGAGCTAGACACATTTTTTTCCCCATAATTTTATTGAGAAACAAATAGCAGACAGTTTCAAACCAAACTGGTAGGACAGTTTCAATAATTAACACACTGCGTACATTCTTCCTAGTGGTTAATTGCTGTACAAGATGCGGACATGATATCCTATTTACAAAATGGCAGAAGGATTTTTTTTTTTCTGGCTGGCTCAGAATGCCTTCAGGGCAGGTTTGACTGGCTTGAGTTGTGGGGATTGAACCCCAGCGACCTGAGGCTGACTGCTTTGCTGAAACAGCCAAAGAACTGAGCTAAGGGGCAGGCTCCCAAGAGCTTTATCCATGGAGACGTGGGACCACCACAGGCTACATCTACACTGGATTTTCCACCCAGCCACCCAGCTCTCTGTTGCTGTGGAGAGCGGTATGGACCCTGCGGAGCTCTGTCAGGTCCCCACCGTGCTGTGCAGTCCTCCTAGACAGGGAGACTGTGGATAGAACCTGGCTGCCACACAGTGGGGCAGCCAGCCCATCATTACACCCAGGGTGGGGCTTGATGTCCCAGGCCCCACAGACCTGCAGTTAGCTACAGAACTCCAGCCGCTTGGCTGGGAGCCCTCTCACTGAGCTCCGCGTCACTGGTCTGCTTTTCCAGGCCCCACTCGCTGTCCAGAGCAGGTCTCTGGCCCCACCAGCATCTCCCACAAAGAGCCTGCAGAAGGGCCAGCCCCTGTGCAGCCGCGGGATGAGCAAGCAGGGTTGACCCCCTCTGAGCCAGGTGCTGGTGAGTGACCATGACAGCAAGGAGTCCGCACTGGAGGCTGGGGACAGGAGAGGCGGCAGTCATGCAGCCCGGTTGCTCCCAGGAAGGGCTGAGACAGGCCCGCGTGGTCGGGCCTACAGTGCCACTGTCTTCTGTGTAGGGAAACATCTGGAGGGAGCTGCTGCCTCAGCCCGTGCTGGTGGGGCCGGCCCAGTCGGTCCTCCCTTTGCACCGGCAGCCCGACACCCAGGCCAGGTGCCTCCCCACTACACAGGAGGACACAACCCTCCTTCTCCAGGCTCCCTTCCCTGCCAGCTGGCTCTCAGCGTATGCTCTGCATGTGCATGTGGGGTTGACGACAGCATCCCTGCAGGGACACACCTGGGCCTCAGCCTTCCCAAGGCCATCAGGATGTCATTGAGGTGCAGTGGGTTGGTGTGAGGCCCCTGAGGCCTCTCCACCAGAACCCTGGGCCCCCAGGCCTTGTGAGTGCCTGGCATAGCTGGGGGCTGTCCTAGCCACCCTGCAGATTGGGGTCAGGACAGGCCCACAGCATCTCTCTCTCACAGGCCCTCCATCAAGCACCTGCATTCGGTCCTCAGTTAAACAGCAGGGCAACTCTTCAGCGGGAGACCCAGCAGCTGTCCCCCGCACGGACAGTCTGACTGCTGTGAGGCCAGGTGAGTGACGGCTGGGGCTCCTGTGGCTGCAGCAGAGCCTGGTGAGGGGACCTAGTGAGAAGCCTTGTCTGGAGGCCTCCCTGCCTGCCTAGCTGCCTCTAGGAGGGTGTGGGGACCAGCCCCTAGGATCCTGGGGCTCTGCAGAGTTGTCCATCCTAGTTGGAAAGGTGATGCTTAGAGATAGGCTCCCTACAGGTGCGTGGTCTGTGGTGACAGAAAGGGTCTTCCTGTAACTGGGGAGCTGGCCCAGGCTCAGGCTTCCATTGTCTCACATCTCACACGCATTGGCCAGTGGTTTAAATGGTCCCCTGCATGGCTTGCTGACGGGGCTTGGTGCCAGGACCCTCGCCTCCTTGGCCTGCTGAGGCCTCAGGTGACCATGTCGCTGCCTCAGCCCCTGCTTTTCACAGCTCTATCCGTGCAGTTCCCCGTCTCAGTCACACACCAGGCAGGGGAGGCCTGCACTGAGCCCCAGCAGGAATCACAGGCCACGGTCCCCCAGGGTGCAGCTTGGCGAGGAGGGGCAGCCTGTGGAGTTGCTGGTTGCCGGTGGAGAGTGACTTCCAGCAGAGGGGTCTCAGTTACTTTTCCTCATTGCTGAGACAAAACACCTCACACTTGAAGGAAGAAGGGTTTGTTTGGTTCACAGCTTGTAAAAGTTTCAGTCCCTAGTCGGCCGGCTCCAAGGCAGGGCGGCAGGCAGAGGAGAAGCAGCTCGTGGCGGGCAGAAGGCAGCAAAACAACACAGGATGACTGCAGCCCTTTCTGTCCCTTATCTTTTCCACAGGCTATTTTGGGGGGAGGCAGCACTCACACCCTTACTCCTAGCGCCCTTTGGCCTAGCATTGCACTGTGAGATCCCAGGATCGCACACTGAGGTCCAGCCACCTCTGAGAAAAGCCCCACCTCTGAAGGAGGAGGCTTGCGGGGAGCATGTAAACATAAGCCAAAATGATGGGTCACATTCCTCCAGGCTGCTCGGGTCCGGGTGTCATTAGAGGCAGTGAGGGCCTCCAGGCTCCTTGTCCTTTAGAGATCATGACCGCTGTCATGGGAATTCTTAGGGCCTGCCAGCCCCTTTGTGATGGCCAGTGTCTCCCTCCTCTGCTTGCCCATGTGGAAAGTCTGACCCAGGGTCCCTTGGAGTCCTGGCTTTACGACTTTCACTGCCGTCTTCTGGTGTCCCTGACTCTACTACTGCAGCCTCCTTTGCAGGTGGCAGTGCTGTGGCCATTAAGACAGAAGCTCCGTCTGAGGATGGGGCGGTACCAGTGCAGCTCTTCCTGGGGTCCCCGAGCCGGACCAAGGATCGAATCCCCAAGGGGCCCAGGAAACAGGCTGGAGGTCCCGTGCGGCCTCAAACCCAGGTGATAACCCAGCCACCAGCAGCTGTGGGAGAGCCACCCCGGGTGCCGCCTCGCCGTCGGCAGGAGCGTGTCTTCCCTTGCCCAGACTGTGGACAGAGCTTCCGCCTGAAAATCAACCTGACGATCCACCAGCGGAGCCACGCAGAGGAGAGGGGAGGCCATGCCACCCTGGAGCCAGGCGAGGTGGTGGTACCCGGTCCCGTCATCCGCTGGATCCCTGAGGAGCCCAGGGCCCACCGAGCCACGGCAGGCCAGGCCTCGGTAGGGCAGAGGCCAGCGGCTACCAAGGTCTACCAGTGCAGTGAGTGCCTGCGCTTCTTCCAGCAGCGTAGGAGCCTGCTGCTGCACCAGCGCCTGCACATGGGTGACAGCCAGGGCTGGCCCACTTGCCCGTACTGCAGCAAGGCCTTCCGCCGCCCCTCAGACCTCTTCCGCCACCAGCGCATCCACACAGGTGAGCGGCCCTATCAGTGTCCCCAGTGTGGCCGGACCTTCAATCGCAACCACCACATGATTTTGCACATGCAGACTCATGCCCGGGGAGAGATGTCCCTGCAGGGGCTCAGCCGCATGGAGGAGGGCTGACCCTGGGCCTATCAGGCACACCACCAGCTCTCTGGGAATCTGCGCTGTCGCCAGATCCTTCCTGTGTGCCTCTTGCTGGTTCATTTGGGACAGCTGTAAAGAGACTTGTTTTTCATTCAGATGTGAAGCAACAGCCCTCTTGGGGATAGTGGATGTGTGTGACAAGGTGCCTCCATTTCGCAAATTTGTCACTCTGCTGCCTTTTCCACATTCCTGACTTCTAAAGCATTTGATTGGGTGTAAGGGATGCTGGCTGTTGGAAGTACCTTTGGCCAGTGGTAGAGTCAGGAGGACCCCAGGTGGGACCCATCTAGCTAGGGTGGAGTCAGAGAGACCTCCAGGGACAGGGATTGACTGCACGGTCAGCTTGTGGCCATGTGAAAACCAGCAGGATGTACAGTACAGGTGGCCTGAAGGACGTTTATATCTTCTCCCCCACCCCTTCTTTTTTGAGACTGTGAACTTCAGGCTGGCCTTGAGCTCAGTTTGTAGCCCAGGCTGTTCTCAAGCTTGCAATGGCCCTCCTGCCTCCTGCCTCAGCCTCCTGAACGCTGGCATTACAGGCGTGGGCCACCAAGCCTGGCAGAAAATTTCTCCTCTTTTACTACGGCATATTCTACTTTGTTACTTTGAGACTCTTTTGGCTTCCTATGGAGATTTCCTAGTATTTTTGCAAATGTTACATAGAATTGCAAAGGAGACCAGGAACGCCTGTGGGGAGAGTAGAGAAGCTGAGTCAGACTGCTGTGGCCTCAAGGCTGCCCTTTGTGGCTGTCCTGGGAGCACTGGGTCTCCCCAGGTGGGTTTCTGTGCCCACAGTGGCTCCAGGACCTTCTAGACTTCCTCCACAGGGCAAGCTCACCTGATTCTTCCTCTTGCAGTCAGTCCAGCCAAGAGGGAGTGAGACGCCCACTCACCACTAGGCCTCCAAGGCTCTCAGGGTTCATGTATGTGTGTGGTCCACTGACTGGACCCCAGAAGGTGTCTGGGGATGTGCAGGATGGCACTAGCAAATCCGCCCCAAGCAGGTGCCCCTCGCTTGGGGTGTGTGTGGGGGGGAGCATTGGCCAGCCCACACGGACTTGGACCAAACTGGGCCACCTCAGATTCCTTGTCTGAGGGGCTGGTGAGATGGCTCAGTGGTCTAAAGCACCTACTTGGAACAAGCTTGGCAAAGCACAGGGACTGCGGTTCGATCCCCCAGCACCACATGCCAGCCCGCCCTGCCCCCTGGTGGGCTGAGCTGGCCACACACACACACACACACACACACACACACACACACACAAATAAATAAATGTAAAAAAAAAAAAATTAAAAAAAAAAATCCTTGTCTGAGAGAGTGATGGCCCTGGTGCCACCTGCCTCACCTTAGCGTTGTCAGTGTCACATGTAGGGACACTGCAAAACAGAAGCCTGGCTGTGTCCTTCCTTCCAAGCTCAGGGCCTCCTTTCTGGTTCATGTTGGTGACCAGCCCTCTTCTGTCAAGAAGCAATCCCTCAGAAGGGCCTTACTCTTCAGGACAGCAGAAGCTACACACACCAGGTTCAGGGAGCCGCATTTGCCATGGGCCTCGGGCGCTGGGCACCCTTTTACCAAAGCACGGATTCAATCCCAGGAAGCCGAAGCCATAGTGTAAGGCCTTCAGAGGAGTCTTTGAGAAAGGCTCATTTGTCAGTCATGTCACCTCAGTGCTGTCTGTAGGCCAGACATGTGCTGGGGGACAGCCACCAGCCCTGCTGACAGCTTGCTGTCTTGTCTGGCAAGTGTCTGTCCTGGTGTCTGCTTCCTGGCTGTGGCGCTTCCTGTTGCCCTTCTGACCCTTGCCAGTTGGGGACAGATGGCCATAGTGTCATCCTGCTCCGGAGGGAGAGCACAGGTCTGTACCGGTTTCCCTGCACTCTCACCTTCTGGCACAGTACATCCTGCTTGTCCTTGTCGGGGCTCCAGGAGTCAGAGATTGGCAGCCACTGAGGTCTGGGAAGCACTGCCCAGGGCCAGGCCTGCTTTTCCAACGCCCCTGTGAATAGGAACGCTCCAAGCCCAAAGTTCAGGCTTCCCATTTTTTATTTTGAAAGAATTTGCTGTGCCCAGCGCAGGGCTCTCCACAACCAGCAGACTAGGTTCCTTCTCCCAGCTCTGAGCCTAGGCGTGGCCACCTTCACTTGCAAAGCAAAGAAATGGCTGGGCCACGACCTGAGGACGGATAAAGGTGGCAGTCCCCTCCTAACCGGTGCGCAGTAAACAAGTCGGCATAAACAAGTGTGTGCGGGCACGGGGTCTGGTTCCGGCACTCCGGGAGGTGAGGGCTCAGTCACGGCTGGCGACGCGGGTGGGTCGCTGCGCACTGGACGCGGCCACTCAGGAAGTGGGGACTCCACGCGGCGCCGGCACCTGCAGGGCCTTGGAGAGCCCAGTGCCCTGCCTGGGCGGGCCTTCCAAAACGAGCCAATGAGGGCATGGAGGTGTGGGGCGGGGCTTTCAAGGTCATCCAATCAGGAGTCAGACCCGACCGGGGGCGGGTCCTACAATTCGCGCGACGCCGCCACATTCAGTCCAAATAGCGCAGTTTCTGTTAGCTGTCTTAAGTATTCTGTACTCGGAGACAGCGCGGGGCTGTGGCCACAGCCACCGCGGCTTCGATAAGGACAACTCTCACGGATGGACGATGTGGGGGCGGGGAGTCGCGTCCAGAATTGTCCCTCTACATCTTCCGGAGTCGGTGTTGGGGCGAGGACGAGGACTCTAGGGCCACAAAGGAACCAGGCTGTCCCGGCCTTGGTCCCAGCCTTTGTCTGCAGAACGAGGTGTTTGGACTTAACTGCTTACCTCGAGTCCCGGGGGGGAGGGCGGCCCCGTGGGTCATGGGCACGGACTGTGGACGCCCTCGCTCCAGAGACCGCTTCCTCGTCTTGGACTGCTGACGGAGAGCCACACCCCTGCTGTTACCCTGGTTTCCCAGGCTGAGGCTGAGGTCGCTAGTCCGGGTGCAGGCGTCCTCCCAGCCCAGCATCACATCCCTGCGCTTGAGGGACTTGTGATGGTCCTGCAGATCGGAGCTCCGAATTGGGTCAGGATGGGTTCTGGTGCCTGCCCCTGCCTGTCCCAGGGAGGGAATCTACGTTACAGTGGACTCTGGTTAGGGTTTCGGGTTCAGGTTTGATGGAGTCTCTGCCTGGCTGAGGTTTGCAGTGGTTTAGAGACAGTTGTGGGTGTCACATTTGTGGCATTGTTGGGTGATTGAGGGTATTTGTCCCTAATTGTGAAGACTAATGATTTACACTTATTGTGGGAAGGACCGGTTAGATAGTTCAGTGGACTAAGTGCCTGCTTTGGCAAGTGCAGAGACCAGGGTTCGATCCCCGGTCCTTGCATGCCGTGCGGGCCCCGCCTTACGGGTGTGCTGAGCCAGAGAGCGAGTCAGGACGTGGTGGTGCACGCCTATAATCCCAGCGCTGGGGAGGCTGAAAACAGGCGGGTCACTATGAGTCGGAGCTTTGTAGTGAGACCCTGTACCAAATACATTAAAAAGAAAAAGAAGAATATATTGTCCCACATATATCATGGGAAGTTGGTACACATACGTAACACATCTCAATTCTTTTTATGTCCCTTTCCGCGTATTTGTTGCTAATAGCACAGTGGTAGTGTAGTAGCGTCCTGTCCCCTGAGTGCTTTTCCTGTGCTGCAGAGTGCTTCTTCCACACCGCCACCCAGGGGCTAGGGATGCTCGGGTGGAGTCCTGGCTGGGTGGCTGCACCTGATGGCCGTGTCGGCACAAGTGTCAGGCCAAGTTCTAGCAGACCGCCACAGGCAGCCACCCGGTGCAGACTCCCCCAGGGCCTGGTGACAAGACACCAGGCACGTCTGGACAGAAAGAAACACACCAGAAGAGGCCTGGGAGGGAAGGGCTTCGAGGCCATCCAGGTCAGAATGACCCGGTTCTTCACTCACCCTTGAGCTTAAGTGTAGGGCAGGAACGACCTGGGAACAGGTGAGAGCCGAGATGGCCACTCGTGTGCGCGGGGCCCGTGGCACGTTTTCTCAGTTCCTGGCAGTGTGCTTGCTCGCTGTTCCTTTCCCATCACTCCTGGTCTCAGTCCACTCACTTCCTGTGGGGTCCAGCATCTACTCGCCCTGAGTGCGTCAGGTGGGGCCAATGGGGCCTGACCAGTGTGGGCTTCTGGAAGCTTGTCCCTTTCCAGAGGACTGCGACCTCTGAATCTGGGACTGGCTTCTGGCTGCTGAGTCTTGCTTGTGTCTGCTGGTAGAACTGGCCTGTAGGCTGCACAGATCCAGGCTGCAGAAACATCTCCCTTGTCGTCTTCCTGGCTCCGGTCCAGGCCTTGGGGAAGAAGATGGAGTGCCAGGCAGCAGAGCGTGGAGGGCCGCACGGGGACGGCCGAGAAGAGACTGGCTGACTGCAAGAAGACGGCCGTGGAGCTTGGCAACCAGCTGGAGGGCAAGTGGGCCGTGCTGGGCACGCTGCTGCAGGAGTACGGGCTGCGGCAGCGGCAGCTGGAGAACCTGCTACACAACCGCAACTTCTGGATGCTGTGGCTGCCCCTGCGCAGCAAGGGAGAGGCCCCTAAAGTACAAGAGCTGACTTGGGGCCAGCCAAATAGCTCAGCGGACTAAACACCTGCTTAGGCAGAGCGCAGCGGCCAGGGTTCGACTCCCAGCTTTGTGTGCCGTGCTGGGCCCCGCCCCTGGGGTATGCTGAGACAGCAGTTGAGACTGGGCGTGGTGGTGCATGCCTGTAATCTCAGAGCTTGGGAGTCTGAATGTAGGAGTTTAGCTGTGCGACACTGTAGACCCGGTACTAAATACATTTTTAAAAAGTTGAAAAAAACAGACTTGGGGTCATCACATGCAGAGTGGAGAAAAGCCCCTGGATATTGAAGTCTGGCCTCTTGGTGCCGCAGGCCAGGCACCAGTGGAAGGCAATGGGTTAAAGCATGTCGAAAGGATGCGAGGCCTGGCGCTGCAAGCCCATAATTCCAGTACCGGGGAGGCTGAGGCAAGAGGATCTCCCTGAGTTTGAGGCTAACCTTGGCTACAGAGTTCAAGCCCAGCCAGAACTACATAACAAGACCTTGCCCTCCCCCACACCAAAGAAAAGGCAAAAGGCAAGTGAGATACCAGCTTTAGCAGCTGACAGACAGTGACCGGCATGGACAGAGTTGTGCAGCAAAAGTTGTGTGTCTTATTCCAAATGGACTCTGAGAAGGAGGGACTCTGGTAGGGAAGTCACCTGAAACCCTTCACAAAGCCCCCTGTGGTCAGAAGGTGCAGGTGTGCCTAGGTGGGGAGTGGACCCCAGAAGCTCTGACCCAGCTCTCCCCGCCTTGGGCTCTGCCCTGTGTGTGAAGCAGAGGCGACAGGGCAGCTGGTCTGTGGCTCCGGGGAGGGGAGAGGAGACCAGAGCAGGTTCCAGCTGCTCTCTGAGGTGGTCGAAGCTCACTGTTGGTTCACTTCCACATGTC